CATTTTTAATTAAATGAACCATCCTTTGGTTACCACCTAGGGTAAACAAAAGACTGAGCTTCTCAGTCTTAATCATTATTTCCTAGAACCAGCATTGCCAAAATAAAAACACCCATCAGAGGAGAAGTCTGACTCAGACTGCTTAAGGTCAACAAGTCCTTTAATTGGTAATAAACTGATAATGCAATGCTATAGTCTAAATATTTGAGAGTTCTGTTTATTTCATAGGTGGGAACTATTTGCAGAGCCTGCAGGATGTAGTCCATTGTAATTCTGCAGATTGCCAGAACACAAATAAACAAGCACAGCCACCTGGGACACCAAGAAATCCCCTGATATCCCAGTGAACAAGGGTGGCTGGATCTCCAGAGAGTCTCCAGTACCTCAGAGACTTTGCTGTGTCCCCTGCTGGACTCACTGTGCCTCCATTCACTCCCAGCACAGGCATTCCTCTCCCAAGAGCTTTGCTGGAGGCCAGGGGAAGCCTCCCACACCTCCACTAAATGGCTTTGGGGTGGGGGCAGGGGCTTGTCCTGAGCTTTGCTCTAAATCTGCACTTAGGCCCTCAAGAAAACGAGTTCTACAAGGATTTGCATTCCCTATTTATTAGTTTGTAACAGCCCTTCACCCCCACAGCTTAGCTTAGGGCATCTCATGGACATCTTGCTGTGCTTCTGCCACACTGACACTTCCATCAGAGAACATCCTGGTGTCCAGGCTTCCCTCTCAGCCAAGGGAGAACAGACTTGTTATATCACCTTTAAAAACTCAGTTGTCCTGCTAGCAGTTTCCAGATGCCACCTGGTATGATGAGCACTCCCAAAAGCATCTCCTCAGCTGTTACACTTGAAAAGGTAAGGACAATTAAATGTATGGTATCTAAAGCTGAGCAGTTAACAGCTTAAAGCTAGGACACTGCAGTAATTAGACTAATCACCTCCCTGTCCTCCTTTGTCACCCACTCATCCTCAGAACTCAGATATTTTCAGTATGAAAAATGGGAGGTGGAAGTTAAGTTTTGGCTGAGTTCAAACAAAGAAACTCAGAAATGGAAGATGAAGAAAAAGGCAACCACCCATGAGAACTTCTGTCTATTATTTTTGACCCAGAAAAATATTTGCTAACCTCAACTGTGCTTTCTTCCAAACATAATTTCTCCATGTTTGCCTGCAGTGGTGACATGTCTTAAATTGCTTTCCTGACCCTGCTTGTTATGCCCCAATAACTGTGAGCTTGCAACACCTACCCTGGTCAGGAGTCCTCCAGATCAGAAGACATTTCATTTAAAAAAACACAATGCTAAAACCACCTCATTTTGTAACAGGGTGAAGTTGAAAATATGCAGGGCCCAATTCCTTTGTACTCCTGTGCCTGCTGAGCTCAAGGCATGAGGCGTGGTGATAAATCCCAAGGGAAAACAGTGCTGTTTGTTTAGGAAACTTTGCATACTGAGGGATCCTTCCTTCTGGTCACTGATTATTTTTAAGCCTCAGCCACGCCTGGATGATTCTGAAATATCTTCATTCCAGTTTTGATTTAACTGTAAAACAGCAGGGTGCATTGCATTGTTTGAGATATCTGGCTGGTATAATTCCCCCCAACACCCAGGAAAAGGAGTTTTAGAAACACTCTTAGGAAGCAATCACCCAACATTTAGCTTCTAGTTATTGATGCCAAAACAAAGAGGTCTGCATCCAGAGGCTGGAGTTATCCCCCCCAAGATGGAAGGGGAGAAAAATGATGCCCAAGGTCCATGTTTGATCTGGGATCCATGACTTTTTCTCTTCTAATTCCCAAACATGTGCTGAGGCCTAGACTGGTTTGTGCTGGGCCCAGTTCTAGTGCAGAAATGCACTACACTGAAATTTTAACTAAAGCTGTTTTACTTTGTTACCCTGACATACAGTGAAAGGAAACTCAGGGGGAGTGAGCCCATTGCTGAATCTGCCACATCCCCGGCTTTCACACACCTTGTCCCATGAGAAAACAAATTCATACATAGGAATATTTTTTTTTTAAACTGGCCACTTTCCTTCCAGAAATAAAGCAACTTTCCAATGCAAACCAGACTCAGCCATTAATTCACCCACTGCAGCCATGTCTGTGCCCTAGGAGCAGGATGACCTGAGTGGCACAGGAGGCCCTGGCAGCACCCATTGCTTACAAGAAGGACAAGGCACCTGATTCCACTGTCTGTCCCCTGCAGTGCTTGCAGGGAGGTGAAAGGTTTAACTCTGCCCAGTGAAGGGTGACATCCAACACCCACAGCCATGAGGAGGCTAACACTACCAGAGATGGGTAGTCTCAATTCACAAGGAGATTAAAAGTGAATCAGATTCACTAATTTCAACACAAAACCACAGTTCTCATAGCAGGTTCTCTCTGCTGGACAAAATTGCAGTAGCTTAATTAGCTACAAGCACAGCTATAAACAGATGTGCTTAAACCAGCACAAATCTGCATGTGGACATGGCCTGTCATTTAGTTCAGCTTAACATAAAAGTTTAGACAAACTTGAGTGAGAAGTCCAAACACAGATTGCACTGATTTAATTAAATCACTAAAAATAAAATCAGGATCAGATGATCATCTGGTCCCACTTCTTGCACAGACAAGGTGTTTCTTCCATCTGTGCAGCTCCACGAATACTTAGCAAATCTTGAAGGAAGGTGGAGAAAACAGACTTTTTGGATAAAAATAACAAGGTCATCTGAACTGCTGAACAGTGTAGTTTTATTTCTAGATGCTTAAGCTGAATAAGACTGGGGACTTTTATATGAGCAGTAATGACTAATTCTGCCCAGACACAACTTCATGATGATGCTGCTGTTGTGTAAAATGCACATTATGCTGCAGAGGGTAAGGTGCCTGCCCAGGGACACTCCACACTGGTGACTCTGCTTTGTGGTGTCAGCCCTGGGAGTGCAGGTCTGCAGGAAGGGAGCAGCTTGGGCTGAAGCTCCTGAAGCCATGGGGGCTCAGCCAAGCAGCCACCCAGAGCAGGTCCCAGCAGCATCCTCCCTGACTGAGTTTCTAATGCCATCTGGTTTGGCTCTCCAAGATGAACTGCAGCATTAGGTTTAACTTGCAAAAAAAATGTAACTTGGTTTTGAATCAAGTGTCACTAACAAGCCCTTCTTTTTCTCCTGCTCGGACGCCTGTTTACACCCCAGGACAGCCTTGTACTCCTTTCAGCTTTGTTGCAAACATTTATCATTGCTTTGTTCTTCTCCCCCCCAACACACACACTCCCTGCTACATCTCTGAGTGCAGATAACAATATTGATTTAAATGCAATCAAAGCGAGCCTCGTGTACAATGAACACTTTGTCCCACGTTGTGCCATACTGTGGCAAGGGCTGCCCCATTCCCAGGGATAGAGGCCCATTAAAGGGATACAATTTATGAGTTCAGGAGGAAAAAAAAAAAAAGCTTACACTTCAATTACAGAATTGTGCAGGAGAGCAGAAACTTGGGTCACCACGTGGAGTTTCTCAGATATTCTGCCAAAGGTGAACAGGGAGGGAGGTAAGGAATTGGGTTCAACCCTCAGAAGCAGCTAACTCCTGCCTGCTGACACCCTCACTCAAGTTCCACAGGGACAGGTCAGCAGATCTGCACTGTCTGACCATGTCCTGTGGTCTGCCCCAGGGACAGAGATGCAGGGGTCTAGAATGGTTTACAGCATCACTGGAGAGAATAAGCTCCACTGCAAACTATTTCATGTGAAAATGACTCAGTGCCAAAGCAATCCAAAAAATGCCCAAGGACCAAACAGGTCATAGGTTACCATGGCTTATACAACAGCATTGATCACACTGGAGAGATGGCTGCAAAGGGAGCAGAAGTTAATAAATGCTGGTTTTATTGCCATGTCAAGCATTTACAACAATGAAGCATGAACAGGGAAGTAAATAAAACCAGGATGGAGAAGGGAGACTAGGAAAATACAGACAAAACAGCAGAAGCCACAGGGAAGTGACACTTCACATTCCACGTTTTTGCAAGTTACTTAGAATATAAAGTGGGGGAGTAATAACAAAAAGTACACTATAAATCATCAAAAGTACCCCTTATTTTCTAGGACTTTACTTTTTTGAAAGTTTTTTATGTCAGATTTTCTCTACAGGGAAAGTTGTGGATGCCCCATCCCTGGAATTGTCAAAGGCCAGGTTGGATAGGGCTTGTGCAACCTGGTCTAGAGTAAGGTGTATCTGCCCGTGGCAGGCGGATTGGAATGAGATGATCTTCCAACCCAAACTATTCTGATTCTGTGATCTCTCTGAAAACCAGCAGCTGCCTCACAAACTTCATTTTAATAGATGGGACAAAAACCACTCTGTGACTAATTGCTTTGATAACGCAATTCATCAATGCAAGATCAGACACACTTTGATTTGACAGCCCAAAGTCCCGGCCAGACGCAGGGGAACGATGCCCCGTGCCAAGGCAGGGCCCCGGCAGCCCGGTGGGCGGAACCAGCCCCGAGCCGTGCCGTGCCGGGCTGGGGAAGGCCCGGCCAGCTCCGTGCTGTGCTGCCGGGCGCCGTCCGGACCCCGAGCGCTGCCGCGGGGCACACGGAGCGCACTGGAACCCGTGTCCCCGCCGGCACTGCCGCCCCGCCACGGGCACCGAGGCTGTCCCCGTGTCCTGCCCGCTGTCCTGCCCGGCAGATCCATCCCACACTCCCACCGCTGCCAGGCCACGCGTGCCCAGCGCACGGTGCCCCCGAGGCCAGACCCTGCCTGGAGGGGATGTCCCGGACCCACCTGGGCAGGGGACAGCGGCACCTCCGCCCGCTCCCAGCGCCGCCGAACGGCCAGCGAGGCTCGGCAGGCACCGCTGTGTCCCGGCGGCGGCTGCGCCCCGCACACGGACACGGACACGGGCACGGACCCGGCACACGGACACGGACACGGACACCGGCCCGGGCTGCGCTCCCGCCCCCCTCCCGGCACACCGGGGCTGTGCCCGGCACGGCGAAGCCCCGCAGCCCTTACCTGCCCTCGGCGGCGCGGGGCGGGAGCGGGGCTATGCCGGGCGGGGCTGTCCATCCCAAACCGGGGCTGTCCGTCCCGAATCGGGACTATCCCTCCCGGGGCCGGGCTATCCATCCCGGGGCGGAGCTATCCATCCTGGGGGCGGGATCGGGGCGATCTATCCCGGGGCCGGGCTCCCCATCCCGGGGGCGGGATCGGGGCTATCCCGGGCGGGGCCGTGCCCATCCCGGGGTGGCAGCAGATGGAAAACCCGGGCCGGAGCAGGGGCGGGGGTCAGGCAGGTCAGCGGGACCTGCGAGGGGCTGGAGGCAGCCTGGGTTGGGGATCATTTCAGTCTTGTCAAATTCTGTTGTTGTATATTAGTACAAAGGTAATTAGTGCCACCCTTGTCTCAGCCAGGGCAGGGCCCGCCTTGGAAAGGCACGGTGTTAGGAGAGGTGTAAGGTGTTAGAAAAGCAGATTTAAGTTACTGTGTGTAGGGGAGGTGTAGGCAGTAAGGCACCCCCAGGGCTCGGAGCTGGCAGAGCAGCCGCCCCATGTCCCTTCAGCATGGCAAAGCTGCCTCCTTGTGAAACAAAACCTGTTCCTGTCCCTCGGTCTGTGCCTGCGGACAGGAGGGAGCGAAGAGGGACCGAGCGCTGTGCCAGTGTTCAACTCCAGCAGGTAACCAAGAGTGAACCCGCCCAGCCCCTATTCTAACCCAAACCAGCAAAAATTTAAGCTCCAAACAAGGATCTGAAGGTATATTTCCAGCAATTCCAGTTTATTGGGATTTCTACTCCCTGCTGTTTACCTCGGTAACTCAATCTAGACCTGTGACGCTGCCCCCTCGGTGCCTCCGTGGCTCCTTCCACCAGGGCCTGCTCCCAAGAAGAAACAGTAATGGATACATTCATAAATCTTAGATGGGGAAAAAAATCAGGAGGCTCCAGGAGGCTGTGGAGGGGCTTGACAGCTGGCTTGCAAGCAAAGCTGAGTTAATAGAAGAAATAATAATTGATGATTTTCGAGTGTATCCATGGCAAGGAAGAAGATAAAGCCATCAGCATGATGATGGAAAAGATACATGAAAATTTTTGTAAGCTAGACTACATGCATAAATAAATGTGTGCACACGTGCCTTATTAACTTCCTGTTAAACTTTTACTAATTATATTAACGCTAATTGCCTTACACCAATAGATATAATAAGTTATTGTGATCTTAAGATCACGTTTTGTTAAGAGTATATAAGCTAGAGAACACACAAAATAAAAACTTTTTCTTCTTAGTCCAAGCTAAGGGTGACAGCAGACCGGGGGAATGTGCCTGCCTCGCTCATTCCCCAGGGGCAGTTTACAAAGTGCCAGAGCCCCGCTGGGAGGAAAGCAGCGCATCCCTGAAAGGATGCAGCACAGCTGATGGCTGTCCCTGCTGTCCCACCCGCCCCAGACACGGCAGCACCCCCAGGTTTCATCTTCTACAGCAGAGAAAGCTGAGGCAAAACCAGTCACACTTTGACATCACTGAGTTTGAATTTCTGGCTGCTGAAATTCAGTCAGTGCTTCTGCATCCACTGGAGGCAGGAACAAGAGCTTAGTTTAGAGTTTATTTCTGGCCATTCCTGCTCAATGCTAGACAAAAACGTGACTTGAGAGTGAGTAAATACAGTCACATGGGGACTTTACAGCAGCCTGTAAAATCAGTGAAGAAATGCATTTTCTTACCACAGCCTGTGCCTCCCTTGCTTTTCTCACGTTTCAGTCTTTTAATATCTTCAGGAGAACAACTGTCAGAAATCATGTAAGACACTTAAATAGTAGGCAGAGATGGGAAAAAAATGGATTTACTTGCTGATTTCTATTTAGGCTTTCATAGTTCCTATCCTAAAATGAACTGCTGATTCAAGTCTAAGACTTAGGCTGTTAAGTTTAAAGCATCAGGAGGTGTTCTGAGTCTGAGATGCTGATTGCTGCCTGCCCCTAAGTCATTCATTATTATGACCTTTCTCTTCCAGAATAACTGCTTCCTGGAAAGTGGCAGGACATTGCCTGCTGATGGGAAGCAGAGAATAAATGTTTTGTTTTCCTTTACTTCCATGTGCATCCTTTGCTTTTGCTTTATTAAATTGCCTGCATCTTGACCCATGGGTTTTTTCCATCTTATTTTCCTGCACCCCATCTTGTCCTGCTGAGGAAAGCAGTGATAGAGCAGCTTGGTGAGCACCTGGCACCCAGCCAAGGCAAACCCACCACCAAAAGGTTTGTCCATTCCTATTCCCACCACAGTAATAAGCCCCTCAAAACCCACAGTTTTTTCAGAGTACAATATGGGACTCCCCTTTAGATGAGGTGCACCTCAAGTTCAGATGAACAATCCTTTTGTTATCTCACCTAAGCTGGGACCTCTGCAAGTACAGCCATAGCACAACCCGTTGTTCTAAGGATTTTCTTTCTATGCTGTCCTTTTTCTTAACTCAAATCCCAGTAAGCCTGGAGTGTTTTAAGTATTTTTAGCTGTGACTTTCAAAAGGCTGCCAGAAGATCGCTGAAAAGTACATATCAGTGTGATTAATGCTCTCAGTGTTTCTTCACAATTCGGCCTCCTCTAGAGGAACTAAATGTGGAAGCATGACAAAATCACCAACAACTATTTCAGTGGGGTTTTCATTGAAATTTTTGCAACCCCAAAATTTCCTCCCCAGCTACCTGACTGCAGTGCTAAAACTACTAAAAGCACCAAAGGAAGAACATGGTGCTTTGGAGATGCCATTTTTACTTCCCACTGTTGTATCACAAAAATATTTTTCTGAGAACAAACTGCTTCTCAGTTTTGTTTACTGGGTGTTAAAATTTTGGTTTACAGCTTGCCAGAATAAAGAAACAGATAAAATCCCCACTCCAGTAGCACAAATGCTCCACCAGCAAGCCCTAAACATAAATACAGACTCCAAAGGAGGAAAAAAACTGATGAATGTGTGTATGAGCAGAGTCCTACTTCTATCTGCAGGAACTGGGCATCTAGGACTGGATAGGAGCAGAAGAACAACATATCTCTTTAGAGACATCCTTTGCAATCCTGCTGTATGCCTCACTTGGTTAGAGATGGTGAGTCATGTTACAGCCAAAATTCAGCAAGTAAGATTCAGTGCAGATCAAGTGACACTGCATGGAGGTCATCCAGTTTAAACCAGCTAAGAAGCTGGACTTATTTTATTTGGCACTGTGCACCTCAATTTTTACTGATGAAAAGCTGGGCAGTTCTTATCAAAAACTGAGGGTCTGTGTCCTTTTGTCCTTTCTGCTGTGAGGTATAAATCTTTATTGGTTGGCAGCAAGAACTATATTTTTGATACCATCTTGCTTAGCAGTGCAAGATGATTTTTTTTTTCTTTTAATGTAAGAATTTTAAAAGACAAATTGGCTCATGTTTCAGGGAGCTTTCTGAGAGACTTACAAATCACATGGCCCAAGTCATGGGAAAGATGTTACTAATTGCTTACAGCAAAGCCAACAGTTTTTGTAGGGCCATGTTCATCCCAGCTAGCAGTGACAGAGTGGGATGCAGAGTGCACACAGCCACCCATGGCTCAAGCAACACCAGGGGCTTGAGCCTGCACCAGGTATGGAGCAAGGTCCAAGCTCGCCTCTGCAGTGAGAAGAGATGGTCACTAAAGGTGAGATTTCCCTGCAGGAAAGCAAAATTCTTCAGGAAAAGACCTGCAGGCCTAAGAACTCCAGCCATATCTCAAGACTGATATTGATCAGTGTTCATAAAGGAAATGGGACAGTTTCCACATGCATGAGATAAACCAGTGGGTTGTTTTTATACTGCTCTGTTGCAGTATATTTATTTCTTGCCAGGGTGAAACCAGCACAGAAAAGGAAATATCCCACAATGACTCACACCACCACTGTCACTCCAGGTTTGCTGTGCTGAGCCGAGTTAGGCTAGACACATGGCAAAAAGCATCCTGAGAAATCTGTTCTCTGGCTTCCAATAAATGCAGTAATCCAGCTTACAGCAGAAAACAACATGGAGCAGAAAGTGACTTATCAAAGCCAGACAATTAGCAAAGCTTTACTATTTTCATACCAAATGCTGTTGATGATTAAGTGACACTGCCTGATATCCCTTCCCACACTGTTCCATCCCTCTGGATGCCCTGCATGCTCCCTCCTTGACAGCAGGAAGCCCTGAGAGAGACAAGTCTGCTGCTAACTGGCTTTAAAATTGCCCTGTGTTGTAAGAGGAAATAATAATGTCTGCTGTTGGGAAGACATCTTGGCATTCCTTTAAAACAAGCAAACAATAAATCTTCTCTCATAGAGAGGTTTCTTTGAAATATTAGTGAGTTTGCTGCCCCTCTTGCAGTCCAAATCACATTTAAGAAATGGATTTCTCTTTGGTTCTGACAGGATGCCCTAAGTAAAGACCACACTGCTGCACAGTACCACACAAGGAAAGGTAACACAGAGGCAAAGCTGCTTGCAAGACACAAAAACAGGAGTAGATTTTCCTCTGCTTAATGAGAATATCTGCAGTTAGATTACTGAGCAAAGTCCAGTGAATAGAAGTGAAGGATAAAATTACCTACAGTGGCACAACCTTCCCCTCAGCTGCTGTTTCACCAGCAGCACTGCACAGCCTGTGGCACTGCACGATGAGAAAGCTTCTACCAGCAGGGTACCAGCATCCAACCCACCCTCCAACCCTCAGGGTAAGCAGAGGCTGGATTTGTTCATGCATCTGTCATGTAAAATAGCAAATCTAAACAGAAATGGTATTTAGCAGTATGAACGCATGCTCTGCTCCAGCACAAGAATCAGCACACAAGCATTTCAGGTCTACTTGTCACAATCAACACTGCACATAGTCAGCTTTGGAATTTCTTTTCTGAACTAAAAGTCTACATTTCCCAGTTATTTTTGAAGTACTATAAGTAAACACCCATCTTGAGAGAACTGAGCTGCCAGACATCAGTGTGAGAACTCTTTTCAAATGGGTTTCAAAACTGCTTACATAGGCATCATTTTGAAGGACTAAATGCATTTGGTATCTATGCATTAACAAGCAGTGCCTTAATAAGCAGCCAAAGCAGAAAG